ACGCCAAAATCCCTAAACAGCAGAAACGCAGAATAGAGAAAAATACATCAAGTTTTACGAGGTTCGGCAACTGCCTACGTCATCGGGAGCCACACAGTAAATTTCTTATTAATCTAACAAGAAATTACAATTCAAGAGCGAGTCTCAAACTTGAGATCCCTCAATAAATACAATCAATACTGTAGCTACAGTATTGATTCCCTCTCTCTCATTTCCCCTCAATCACCTATTGAGTGCTGAAAAGACCCCCACTTAATTTTCTCTCTCTTAACTTCCTTCTTAAATCCCCCTTCAAATCTCAATCTCTGAAGGCGCTGGAGAAGAAATGCAACAAGAGAGATCAGGTGAGGAGAGAGAACTCCGCCACTACTGAAGAACGAGAGTAAGAGCTATAATCGGATCCGAGCCTAGGGTTTCCCCTTTTATAGTGAAGCCCTAGCTGAGCTGTCGACAGGCTGTCGACAGCCTGGGAAACTCGCCAGCAGTGCTCGAGCTCGCCTGTAAAGGCCCTAAGCTCACCTGCGGACCCCCAAATCTCGCCTACGTCTTACTCGCTCGCCCTCGCCTGCAGAAGTCTCGAAATCGCCTGTGTGGGACTCTCGAGCTCGCCAAAGCTTCGACCTCGCCTGCAAGTTGCATCCGCCCCCAAACTCGCCCTCGTCGACCTCGCCTGAGTCGACCTCGAGCTCGCCTGCACCTGCGGAGATCTCGAGCTTGCCAACTGGAGCTCACCTCGCCTGAGGGGTGTCGTCGACCTCGCCTGAGTCGACGCCCACGCTCGCCGGAGCTTCTCGCCTGAATCGAGGTTTGATCTACACCTCAATTCCAACATGGGCCCCCTTCTACTTTAAAAACCGCTTAAGTGATGATCTTTACCACTTCTTTCAACATTGTATGCTACATGGTGAAGGAAACACAACTGAAGATGAAAACTAAAGCAAATAAGAGAAGCATCTTTCTTGTAGAAAACAAGTGTTTGTTCTAATTGATTTATATTATTGTACTAGTAGAAAACAATTTTGTTTGATCTGTAACTTCTACAAAAGAACAAAAAAGGTCATTCAGCATGCAGAGTTTCAAACAAATCTAGGCTAGCCCACGGTTGAGTTCTGCTCACATTTAAACTTCCCCCAAATCAATTGAAGTAATAAAGTTCTTAAGCCTACCTCAGATTTTAAACAACACAAACTCCGGTTCATTGAGCAACTATATCATGGAATAATCAATGACAGAGCGACACTAGAAAATACAACTGATGGCCTGCAAACAGGAAAGGTCAACTGATAGTCTATAAAACCAAATAGTAAACATGCTAATGGAACAGTCACATATAAAAAAAAGGCTTTTCTATTGCACTGCTGCTCATAAACACAAGAAGCAAAGTCACAAGCAATGAAGTTTAAAGGCTGAACAAGTAAAATACCTTGTATATTCCCAATATTTTCGCCAGACATGTGGGTGCTTCTGTCCTAATAGATTCCGAGAAATATCTTAAGTATTCTGGAGGAAATCTAATAAAAGATTCCAGCTCTGCTTTTTTCACTTGTTTAATGATAAATCTATCATCCAATGATTTCACTAAGAATAAATCGCTCCTCTTGCCTCTGTGTGTTCCCGATTTCTTATAGCGACTGAGTGATCGTATAAAACCAAGCTCGGATGTACAGCAATGTCTCCTCAAGGCATGAAAGCGTTTTGCATAATAACATGTCACCAAATAGTTGACTTTACCTAGTGGCCCATCACCAGAAAAATAAACTCTGGCATGGAGATCTTTAGTAAATGAAAGTGAAGAACAATGGGTATCTCTTACTTTCTCCTGTTCATCTGACATCTGAGAGCTGTAATCATATGAGACCAGTGCATAACAAATAATACTAGTTGGTTCATCATCATAAACAGGAATGACGGTGTCATTGGTTCCAACAGGAAAAAATAATCTCGCTCTACCTTGGCACTCTAAATCCTGGAACAAAGAAATATAAACAGGGCTATACTCATTGAGAGCATCGACTTTCGGAGAATTCTCATCCTTGTTGATGGAACAATAGAAATTTGAAAATGGCAATTCAATCCAGCTAGAGAAACCCTCTGTACCATTTCCAGACTGTTGTGCAGTGTATATCAAGCATTGATCCCAAAAGTATGACTGAAATAGCAATTGCCTCCGTAGCTTATTTATCTCAAGAATATCAATAATGGGTTGGCCCTCCCTCACTTCTCTTTTTGTTACTTTCTGAAGAGAATTCTGGAACACAAAAAACTATAATTAGAACGGTGATTACTGTAAAACTACATATATATATATATATAT